TTCAGTTAGTATTTAAAAGTAGAGAAATTGCACTTCCTGGAAGAAAGACAGAAAAAAAAAAAAAGTAGTTAGTTTAATTATCCTGTAAATTATTTAATTTTGGCAAGATGTATGTAATTTATATTTACAACACCTTATGTTAACTTTTTGCTATTTATTTAACTTTTTTATTTATTAATTTTATACTTATTTTAAACTGGACACCGCACCATAGAAAAGAAGATAAAAGAAGCAAAAAAAAGTTAAAAATTAAAACTTTTGACCATAAAAATGATATTCCAAAAAAAAAGGAAAAAAAGAAAAAATCCCTATCTACAACTCCTACTTGTAATTTTGATGCTACCAAGTTATTTTTTATATATTTTGTTATTTATTCTTTTAACAATGGGAATTTTTTTAAAGATATTTTATAACTGAAACATTTTGATAATTTTTTGATTTGTTTTTTTGCGGGGGCAGGGGCACCGGGGGAAGAGAGACTTTTTCAGTTTTTCTTTTCTTTTTCATTCATATTGTTTCAGGCACTGATAACAGGAAATGAAAATTCTGTATTTATTATTTATTTAATATTTAAGTCGGGAGAAAAAATGAACTGTGCTCTTGTTGTATATTTATTTTGTCGTTTGTGTGTCGGTTATGTGATGACTGAGTACTTGTTTATGTGAAGGAATACTGTTAATATTTAAATAATAAAGAGTCACATTGAAAGTTATAGCAGGCTACATGTTATTCTGTGAAAACAAATACTGTGATCTACTTTCCTCAGGAAATGTACTTTGCAGACAGAACTTCCTTATGTACTGGCAGGGTTATTTCGTAATAAAACCCAGTTCTGTTTGTGACTTTAGTTCCCATGGTCTTTCTTCGAGCTGCTGCCAACGTCCCCAACGTGTCCCCGATGGGCTTCGTCCCCGCTCACGCACCGTGGCTTGGAGGGTTGGCGTGTGTGTCCCACCTCGGAGCTGTGGCCAGAGACTGCCCACCCCAGAGCTGGCTCTCCTCGCCTACTAAATTGGGGGATTTAGGGGGGATTTAAGTTTGGTATCTCTGAAGACTTTGACAAATAAGGAGTTGTCACCATCTGGGTGACAGCCTAAAATCCCGCTAGTGCCATGATGGGAGGGATCAAAAGTCCAAACAAAGGTAAGTATTTATTTAGGCAGTTGCTGAAGCCCCTTCCCAAGGCAGGAGGGTTGCAGGCAGCGTCACACCCTGCACGCACAGCGCTCAGCATCCCTGGGACTTCACAGCTTCGTGCTCCCATAGGCAGTGCGCAAGCATTGGAGATGCCGTCAAGGAGCGGCAGAGGAGATGCCATCAAGGAGCAGCAGAGGAGATGCAGTCAAAGAGTGGCAGAGGAGGTGCCATCAAGGAGCAGTAGAGGAGATGCCATCAAGGAGTGGTACAGGAGATGCCATCAAGGAGCGGCAGAGGAGGTGCCATCAAGGAGCGGTAGAGGAGGTGCCATCAAGGAGTGGTACAGGAGATGCCAGCCCTGGGACGAGACACAGAGATGGACACTTTCCCCTCCTGGATTTACAAAAAAGCCTCACCAAACTGATCTCTGAGGTTTAGCTAGAACGCTGGGAGATGGCTTGTAGCTGTCAACCAGGTTTCCTCGCTTACATCTGCCTGGCTGCAATGGTCACAGATTACCTTCCTGGAAGAATGGACCTTTTTCACTGGCAAAAGTTTTTATGTTTTGAAGTGGTGGCAATGAACAGAATTTCTCACCGGTCTCTGCGTTGGAGACGTCATTTCTGAAGTCAGTGGAATTCAGTTTTGCTATGCTGTAGCTGTAGGTGAAATAAGGTAAATCATATTAAGGCCGTTTGGAGCTGAGTGAGTTGGGTCAAATGGGAATCTCAGGCATGTCCATCACCAAGAAATTCAATTCTCTTATTAACTGAGCTGAACTTTCCTGACTGTCCCTGCGCAGAGGCATAAGCACTGTTGGGTTAAGGCAGGAGGTGGTGGCTGTGCTGCAAAGACACAAGGGTGAAAGGCAGAGTAAAATGGAGCAAAAAGCAAAAAGAGCAACTGTAGACAGAAAAATTTGTAGCAAAGTTAAGAAGATTTCTTAAAACCTTTCCTCAAGCATGTACATGGCCATGGGTGTTCAGTGGAGGTTTTTTCTGTCTTCATTGGGTGTCTGCAAAATCTCCTGGGGCAGGACAACTGTCAGAAGCTTAGGACAGGCTTGTGGGGATGGTGAAAGAGAGGAGGACCCTCCTGGAGAGGCGGCAGTAGATGCTTTTGCTTCGTGCTGGTGGGTTTCCAGGGATAGCTTTGCTGGACACAGCTTAGAGCTGATGGGGTTTTGTCACCTCTGCAAAGGGCTGCACATTTTAAAAGGAGAAAAACAGGGAGACTCGCACAATGGTTCATCTAAACTGGCTGGCATGGTGTTTTTCTGAAGGGCACGTAATTGTTTTACAGGGGGGTTTCGCTAGACTTTGCACCGCCGAGCGGTTCCTTGTGCCAATATTTGATTATGATGATAGAGCTAATAGACATGCTCACTTGTCCTTTCTTAACGAATTGGCTGTGCTGCATAATAGAGCGGTTAGATTTGTGTTAAATTGCAGCTTTGGGAGCCATCACTGTGAGATGTTATCTTCTCTGAACTGGCGTCCTTTATCGCAGGGAAGGGAATTGAATTGGTTTAAGATGGTACACTGTCGGTTTATAGGTGTGCTTAGGAGAGCTCTTAAGCCTCCTCCAACACGCATAGGGTGAGAGCTGAGCGGCAGAGGCGAGCGGGTCTTTTGCTTCAAGGATGCAAGGGAAAAGATACTTGTCAGCATACGGTTGTTTCTAAAGATGTCGATAAATCATTGACCAACAAGAGTGTCATTTGGCCTCGCTGATGCCACTGTTAATTGTTAAAAGCTGCTAACAACCCATCCCTTCCTTCTTCTGCTCAAGTGGTACCTTCCACTTGTCAAGATTTAGCAGGGCACCGTGGGCTCCGGCGATGGCTTTCGGCTGTGCGCGGAAAGGGGCTTCTTTCCCAGCCTCGTGCATTTTTGCTGATTTTTGTTCCCCCCTTGCCCCAGAGCTCCTCTGGGTGAAGGCTTGGTCCATCTCACCTGGCTCCCATGACCAAGGTGTCCTGAAAAACACACAGCTGGGTGGTCAGGAATGGGTTGCCTCATTCTTCATCAGGTTACTGGGGAAAGAAGGCAACTTTGCTCTTCAGAGCTGCCATTTAGCATCAATTTCACCCCCTTTGAGCCCTGGGAAGATGATGCTGAGGCTGGAGAGTATTGGCTGGAGATGACACTGCAG